TGGTCCTGATAATCTTTAGATAAATTATAAATTGATTTTCCTTTTCTTTCTTCACATTCTCTGTTGAATTTGTGACCCTATTTTGCACTTCCCTAAATTGCATTATAAATCAGAAAATACATGTCTGCTTAGATTGAAAGTTCCATTTCAACTGATTCAACTGCTCAGAGTGGCTGTGGCTTCAGAGCGTTCACATAAACCTCTGCTCATGGCCTTTATTCATGTGAGCTTTCTACAAATGCAATCACCAGAAAGTACATGCTACTCAAAACACCAGGTAGAAGCCAAAAAATTTGTGGTAAGAAAAACATAATGCAATGTTTAACTAAGCGTGAAAACACAATGATACATCTCATACTTTCAGTTGAGAGGCATGAAGATCACTCATAAGTAGACACACAAACTTGTTTTTCTCATTAAATAAATCAGTTGTGTAGTAATTTAAACTTATTTGAAAGGATAGTGTTATGACCTGAATTGTGTCTCCACAAAAGTCATACATGGAAGCCCTAATCCCTAAATGACTGCATTTGGAGATAGGGCTTTTCACAAGGTAATTAGGGTTAAATGAGGTCATAAAAGCAGGGCCATAATCCAATAGGACTGGTGTCCTTATAAAAGGGAAGACCTAGTAATCATTCTGCAGATGGTTGTTTAATTTCCATGACTTTGTGTAGAATTGAGTGTTTCTATTGGAGTTGATTTCTAATTTTATTCCACTATGATCTGAGAAGATACATGGTATAATTTCTATTTTTTTTTAATTTGTTGAGACATGTTTTGTGGCCTAAGATGTAATCAATCTTAGAGAATATTCCATGTACTGATGAGAAGAATGTATATTTAGTCATTTTTGGGTTGAATGTTCTGTAAGTGTCTATTAGGCCCATTTGCTTTAGAGTCCCATTTAAGTCCAGTGTTTATTTATTTTCTGCTTGGAGGATCTGTCCAGTTCTGTCAGTGGGGTGTTGAAGTCCCCAGCAATTACGATGTTGCTGTTTCTCACTTTGTTTAGATCTAGTAGGGTTTGCTTTAGGAATCTGGGCACACCTGTGTTGGGTGCATAAATATTTAGGATTGTTATGTCTTCTCAATGAATTGCTCCCTTTATCATTATTATTATAATGACTATGTCTGTCTGTCTTTACTATTGTTGATTTGAAGTTTATTTTATCTGATATGAGAATGACTACATCTGCTTTCTTTTGATTTCCATTTGCCTGGAATATTTTTTTCCATCCCTTCACCTTAAGTCTGAATGAGTCCTTGTGGGTTATATGTGTTTCCTGGAGACAGCAGAGAATTGGTTTCTACTTTTTAATCCATTCAGCCAGGCTATGTCTCTTGAATGGGGAATTTATTTCTTTAAATAAATGACAAAGGGGATACAAATTATCAAAATCTGTGGGACTCAGCAAAAGCAGTCCTAAGGGGAAAATTCATAGTCTTAAATGCCTACATCAAAAAGACAGAAAGATAGCAAATCAACAATCTAATTAATCATCTCAAGGAACTACAAAAGGAAGAACAAACCAATCACAAACCTAGCAGAAGAAAAGAAATAACTAAGGTCAGAGCAGAACTAAATGAAATTGAAAACAAAAAATACTACAGAAGATTAATGAAACAAAGAGTTGGTTCTTTGGA